GCCCATTTATTGTTTATTGATATCTAGAGTAGACTATAATTAACGAATAGTTTGTGATATCACATATCAACTTATTTGAGCATGGCCATGCATTTCTACTCTCACTCAATCAAGTGGCTTGTGATGTGTTTCCTATTATATAAGAAAGACAAATCCTATCTTAACCATACACACCCCACTACATATATTGAGATATATTCAAAAATAGTCTTTATAGCACAACCAGTTATGGAGCATGTTTAACTGTATCAAAACATACAACAATATGTGTTATGATGACATTGATCTCAAGTATGAGGATCATACATATAGTCATCACCATTAGCAATGTTATGACCGTTACATAATAATCCAAGACATATGCTCATGATGGGTCAATCCAATACATTTTCTCTAATAATATAATTATCTATCAATTCTGACATCTCTATGTCAATGAAAACTTGTTGTCATCAATCAATAACATGTTAGTCTTAAGCGTATTATTATTGATCATGCCCATAATAATACTTTATTATAAATCTTTTAATAATGTTGTTATATGGATTTTATTATCTTTCAGTTTATGTTAAACACATACATATAACTGAAAATAATAGTGGCAATGTGTATTACCCCAAATATTAGGCCAGATACCTTATTGAAAAGATTTGAAAATTTAAGATTTATTTGAATAAGTGGTAAGAGATGAGGAAATGATTTGGAATAGTGTATAGACTAATTTGTAACAATAGATAAATTAAGAGGGAACTTTGGTCTTTTAAGAGGGAAAATGAATTTAAAATATATCCATTATTAGGGATTGTAAAGGGGGATAAGAGGAAAGTAAGCGTTTTTCATTCTTCTTTTCATTCACTCACGTGGGTAGTGCTTTCCTCTCTAGCATAAGGTAAACTTCAATTAGTTAGTTATTCCTTTAAATTCTGGATTTCTATAGTAACATTAAGTGATTTGTAAGCTTAAGGAAGGATTAAAGAATATTAAAACTAAGTGGTGGATGTTTTATATTAGATTTAATGAAATGGGTTTTGAATGATATATTGTTATATTTGTTTTTATTAAGGTTTATTAGTAGAATTGACTTGTCAAAGGATTTAATAAGAGATTAGAAGTATGAGAAATGATTAAAAAATGCTTAGAAAAATGCTATGATTCTTGAGTTGAAGTGTTTTATGAGTATTCTAGAGGTTATAAGAGGTTAAATGAAGGAAAGTTAGTAAGATTAAGTAAAGAAAAGTTTAGTAGTATTGTTGGAGGTAAAAATAAGAGATTATAGGGGGAAATTTTGTAAAAATCGGGCTATAAAATGGTAAATCTGGATAAGGGTGTCGATACTGATAGAACAATACCGATATTATATGTGTAAATATGTAGAAATGTGACGAACATTATCGGTACTGATAAAAGTGGCATCAATACTGATGGGGTATCGATACTAACAAAGGGAAGTATCGATACCATGGATCCAGAATGTCAAAATGGTATCGATATTGAAAGAAAGTATCGATACCATAGTATAATAGTATATAGACTGAGATAAAGGTATCGATACCATGCAAAATAGAATATAGAAATGGTATCGATACTGAGAAGGGGTATACGTACCATAGTATGGAAGTATCGATACCAAGGTAGTAGTACCGATACTATTGAGGTTGGAACTACAAGATAGTTTGAAATTCTTATAGAAATTGAAATAATGGTACTTTTGAATATTATTATAGTATAATGTTAAGGAGTATACTAACATGGGTATGTTATGTGTACTTATTGGATGCTTGTGTAGATTGTAATCAAGCTCCTTAATCTAGCAAGAAAAAGGGGAAAGATCAAGTTGTTGATTAGCCAGATCTCTTTACATCTTATTAGCGGGGATTATCAGGTGAGTACATTTATTGTAATTATTTGAGATGAATAAAATTAGAAATGATGCAAGTTAGAACGTTTTGAGTTAATGTATGTTTTATATTAGTTAATATGTTATCATTATATGTATAGAAAGGAGATTATGAATGAGTTTTTGAGTATGAAATGTTCTAAAATGAATTCATAACTAAAATGCATGAAACGATGCATTAAGGCATGGAAGTATGCCATAACTAAAATGCATGAAAGGATGCATTAAGGCATGAAATAATGCCATAACTAAAATGCATGAAAGGATGCATTAAAGCATTAAAGGATGCCATAACTAAAATGCATTAAAGGATGCATTAAGACATAAAAGGATGCCACAACTGAAATTCATGAATAATTACTAGAGAAAAATGTACAAGAAAGAAAGGTATATTGGAAATAATAAGGATGTTTATGATAATAGTGTGAAAGAAGTTTGGTTTCAATAAGAGTGACTTATCTAATCCTTATCGATAATACAAATTTGTTTGAAATAAAATAACCATGATATGCTTAAGTATACATTATTGTTTCTTTACAATATTATGTCTCACTATGTACAATTTTAACATGTGTTGATTTCACGCGTAGGTAAAGACAAAGATTAATTGAGTAAGGAGTACAGCTGCAGTAGTAGTTGATGTAAGGCATTTGTACCTTAACAAATTGATTGTGGATCTAGGAAGGAAGCAAACAACATGCACAAGTGAATGGCTCTAAAAGAGAGGGTTAAGGGTGGTAGACGAATGGTGAATAGGTGGGATGTTTAAAATGAGAGATGGAAGCGGAAGATGGTTGATAAGGCTATAGTGATGGCTTATGAAACAAAGGGATAGTAATAAGGATAGTATCTTGAAGAAGTCTCAAAGAAAAACCAATGCTATAGAGAGCAAAGACCCAGACTTTATATTGCTTCTTCAAGGGGTGGTATTAAGTACATTGACCCACTAGTTATATGAACTAGGAACTAGAAGTATCAAGGTGAAAAGAAAGGGGTTGACACCACAAGTATAAAATACTTGATAAGTCGATAAAAGTCACAAGGACTTAAGGAAGAGAATAATCTCACTTATATTAATGAAAAAGTCTGAATACAAATGATATATGCTTTCCTATTTATAGGAAATGGAGAGGCATGGCCGAATGGTTACAAGGGGATTCGGCCAGCCTTGTGCCTTCCTATAGAGACATAATTAATTACAAAATAGAGATGATGTTTCAGTTTAAATGGAGGGTGATAACCCTTGGCCGAATAGCTCTACTGTCCCTTCATGTTGGCGCCAAATTGAATGGGAGATAATGCTTGGCCGAATAGGGAGAGGGCTCTTCATCTTGGCGCCTAAATGAGACCACATGCAAGGCACATGGGGGCTGGTCATATGGAATGCACATGGGTGATATAGGGAGCCTTGTGGTGTAGCCTTGTGCATGGAATGATGGTTGGTCATGTGCTCCATCTTGGGCGTGCATGTGTCTCCTACCAAGCTAGCTTGAGTGTGGAGCTAGTTAGCAAGCATGGGCTGTTTGTAAACAAGCTTCCTAGCCGAATCCTTACGAGCTCCATATCAACATGTTCAACTACATTCAGCTACCTTTGATCACTTTTGGCAACTCAGCTCCAAATAGTCCAACTAGCTAAGTTTAGCTAGCCTTAAGCTCCTCCAGCTGAATCGAGCTTTCCTTAGTGTTCCATGAGCTGTCTTGTACTTTGTGAGCTGTTTGTGAGCTGCATATAACGTCCAAATTATCCACCAAGCTATCTCATCGTGCATCATATTCCAATGTACCTATATGTGCAAGGAAACAAGGTAAGTTCTTGGCATTGAGCGGTTATGAGCTAAATACCTTGTTGCCATGTAAGAATATGGTAATGTGAGCTATGATTGAAGGTCATGAGCTAAATATATCATCTCATAATATGTGTAAGATAATGCATGAAGCTTAATAGCTAATATGAATGCATATTAACTAATAAAATGAATTATAATGATGCTGTCTTGATGTATATAAGGTAATCATGTTTAATATGATTATAAGACTATCCTAACATGCTTAAATATCAATGTGCATGATGTGTTCATACTAAGTTATTCATTAACTACATAACAAGAATTCTTATCATGAATTGTATTATAAAAGCATGTAGTATATAACTAATATATACACTACAACAAAATTTCTTATTAGTGGCATCTAGGTTATTGTCACTAAAACTTCAATTTATGTCACTAGATGTATTTTGTGACGTAAAAGTCAATGTCACGACGATCATCACCCTAGGTGTGTCACTAAATGTCAAAAGTGACGATGTATATGTTATCGTCATGTATTGTTAAATATATAGTGACACTAATATATAACATCATAGTTTAATTTGCATTTAGTGACAATTACTTTTGTCACCAAATGATGTACATTTTTCTCATTAATAAATCATATCGTCACCAATAACACAATAATTTCAATTTATATGGACAAAAAGAACATTGTCACATTGTTAGTAACGTAGTATATCGTCACCTAATAGTAGCATGGCTGACATTTATATATATCGTCACTATATAATTAATATTTAATGACAACTAATTATGTCACTAAATTATGTAAAATTTCGTTATTAATGATTTATATTGTCACGGATAATACATTAACATCAACTTATATGTGATGAAAGAGATATTGTCACAATTTTAGTGACAATATAAATGTTACCCCATAATATTATGAATGACGTTTACGCATAACATCACTTTATAATTTATATTCTATGACAATTGGTTACGTCATTAAATTAAATAAGATTTCTTTATTGATAATTTATATTGTCACAAATAATGCATTAAAATCAACTTATATGTGACGAAAGAGATATTGTAGCAAACCACAGATAATTTATATTCTATGACATTTTTAATGACAATATATATTAAAATAAAATTATTTATACAAATCTAAATAAAAAATTAAAATAGTTCACTTATTGCAAAATAATAAGATTTAAACAAATATTTCACCAAAATACATAATAATTTAATTTCTATAAATATAAAAATGTTTAAATGTTTACAGAAAATAAAAATAATATGATAATAATATGACTTGTAGAATATTTCATTGTAACAATCTCAATCCAAACCTTGAGTCAGTTATGGTTCTGTTGATGTTGAGTTTGCGGTATCATTTGAAGCTACAAATTAAAATAATCAACATTAGTTACTACAATTAATATTGTATAATAATTTTTATTTAATTAAGTATATTGTTTACCTGAAAAGGTGAATCTTTGATGAAAACAAACGGTGAAATTGTTTAGCACCTATCATTGATGTATGGTCGAAGAACTTCACCACCCATGTCTTCTCTATCATTCATAGACGAGGTTGATGAATTTTCAAGTAGTTCTTTCTCAGTTAAATACATCTCAGCCATATCTTCATCATCATCTAGCAAGTGCTCCAATTCATCCCTTACCTGAGAATAAGTATATACATATGTTTTGAATTGAAAATGGAAGAAAGAAAAAAAAATGGAAGTTAAAACAAATGCAATGTTCAATTGATTGATGTCAACTCGGCTCAAATGTCACACATATGACATTCTGCATGGTTATGTTTAAATACACAACATTCTGGATGCGCCCAGTTATTGCAACTAATCGACTTTTAATTTGGTGAACCTGCTCCAAATTGAGAGTACCGATCTTTGATGTCAATTTATCTTAGGCAGGATGAGCCTCTAGCTCCAATGTCTTTGCCTGCACCGGAATAAAACAATAACCAAAACATAACGAGTAAAACAGCGTGATGGTAACAAAAAAGTTCACAGAAAACTAAGAGAGAGAGTGTTACTAACTTCATTTTCTAAGCAGCTTCAAGGCATGCCTCCAATGCAACAAACAGAAATGGAAGAATCTTGAAGCTATTTGGGTTCTCAAGACTCTGTTTCTCTTCTGATTTACCTTCATCATCCAGATTCTGCGGCTGTGAAAACCTTGATGACAAATTTTGAGAACTCGATCGAATTATGTAGTTGGAATCATCAACCGCAGCTTCCTAAAGAAGAAAACTAAACCATTTGGCCAATGAATATGAAAAAGAATCAGTTGTAGAGCCTAGTAACAAAATGGAAATTGGTAGAGAACCAAGAAAGAACCAGCAGGAGCTGATATTAACTATTTTTCTGACTCAATTTTTTTCTGTAAGTACCGGAGACTAACACTTTGAAATATGTACAATGACTTGACCCTCCAAGAACACTCCATATACAAGGAGGAACTTTTTAAAATTTAGGCATTCGAGTGTGGGCACATACCCGTACCCATCACACAATTAAATCTAAGTAACCTAGGATATTGAGCTATAGCAACATGACTGACTGACTACTTGCAACTAGAAAGAAGGTAAATGAGCATGCAAAGCAGCAGCTGGCAGCTACTGAGCTTATCACCGACATGCTGAGAGCTGCCAAGTTGATTATTAGTTACGAAAATGGAGTGTAACCATCAGCTGAGCTAGCAGGTATCTATAAGTTAAGTCAATAAATTGTGACAGGATAACATTTAAGCTTATTATCGCTAAATTCTAGAAGGCAATTATGTTGTTGAATTCCACTACGTTACTTAGACTCGGAGGCGAGTGTTGATTTGACTGCAATTATGAAGGAAAGATATCAATTTCTGTATTTTCTCCCCTAAATTATCAATTCACAGTGAATACTGTGATAGAATACATGATTTTACCTAATTGAAATAAGAAAATTTCATCGATGCAAAAATAAATCAGGAAAATAAATAAGAACCCTAAATCAAAATTCCATGATAGAACATCAACTAAACAAACATATATATATAACTAAAGAAATCAAATTAATAAATAACGAACCTGGTCTTTGGTTGCTTGATAGTGTCACAAAATTCGGCTCTGAATCTCATCAACAAAGGGGTAACCGAAAGATCCTTAGAATTCGAAAGCAAAACCTCTTGCGCTGTGATGATTGCCTTAATATGTTCCAAGTTAATCACGATCGCCCTTTCACGACCCAGAATCGTAGATGGGTACGACAGAAGCGGGTCCAATATCCCAAGATCTCGAGCGGGTAAACCTGTGAGTCTCATGATTGCATGTTTTCTGGCCTCTACAATCTGGGTGTGGCACGTCGAGTCTAGTATAAGCAATGCCCGAATACCGGTCCCCTTCTTCCAATGACCAGCTACGGTGGCGGTGGCTTGAGCTTGATTAGGGAACAGAACGGGTCGGGAATAAAGGTCCGGATCGTCATCGGGTTTGGGCGGTGATGACGTAGGTCGACTTGTCATTTTGGGCTTTATCATCCGAGTAGTATTGGATACTGAGATTTAGTGGCAACAAAGGATACATTTAGTTATGAGAAAATCGTCTTAGTGACCAAAAATGCCTTATAATATACGATTTTAATCAATTTTTTTTGGATTTGCCAAAATGACCAACAAAATCGCAATGCGAAATAAAAATCGCAACTCGATCTCCAGAATCGCAAATCAGTTCTCAGAATCGCAACGCGATTATGAAGAATCGCAATGCGATAGTACAAATTCGTATTGCAATTTTCCAGAATCGCAACGCGAATATGAAAATCGCAACGCGAACATATAAATCGCAACGCGATTCTGACTATCGCAACGAGTATCCGTAAATCGCAACGACAATACGTAAAATCGCAACGCGTATCCGTAAATCGCAACGAGAATACGTAAATCGCAACGCGTATCTGTAAATCGCAACGAGAATACGTAAATCGCAATACGTATCCGTAAATCGCAACGACAATACGTAAAATCGCAACGCGTTTCCGTAAATCGCAACGCGATTTTTAAAGCACCATTAGAATCGCTACGCGTATTTTATTTTCAAATTCCAAACACAAATATTAATTATCGGAACACTGAACCGTCCACAGTAGTATATCCCGTAATCGCAACTCATAACCTAAAACCTAAAATCACAACTCAGTCCCATCTCCATCTCTCACTCTCTACGGTGAAATCCGTCCCCATCTCTGAAGATTTCCGTCCCCATCTCCGGCGAAATCCCTCACAACCATTCACGGTCAGAAATCCCTCACAATCATTCAGAAATGGAAAATCAACCTCCGAGGGTTAGTTTTTTTAATTATTTTTATTTTGAAATTTTTGCATTATTTTAGGTTTTTCATATTGAATTTGTTGATAAGTTTACTGGTAATTTCAATAATAGATTAACAATTTCACTTAGATTTCTTATTAAATTCATTCGATTGCTGCCAATACTGCTAAACTGTTTAGTCTTTAACCCTGTGAAGTTAGTATTTGTCTTTGTTTTGTCTTTTGGTTGAAGTAATGCAATCCATTAAAGTTTCAATTTACAGAAGAAGAATAGTTTCTAAACTTCAAATCGCAACATGAAAAATGAAAATCGCAACACGAAAATGACTATCGCAACAAGAGAAATGAAAATCGCAACGAGAGAATCGCAACGCGAAACCAAAATCGCATTGCGATTTTCATTTCGCGTTGTGATTCTCTCGTTGCGATTTTCATTTCGCGTTGCGATTCTCTCATTGCGATTTTCATTTCGCGTTGCGATTCTCTCGTTGCGATAGTCATTTCCGCATTGCGATAGTCATTCTCTCATTGCGATTTTCATTTCAACCAAAAGACAAAACAGTGTTGCAAATTTTAGTTTCAAGAATAAACTACTACTCTTTATATTTATTGTTTTTGGTATATCTTCACTGTGTAGTTTTTGGTATATCTAACTTGGTATGTTTATTATTTTTGTAGAAATTTTTTTCGGCTTCATTGACATTAAGGAATAAAGTTAGACTAGCCACTACAATTGCTTCGAAGCTTTCACATGAACAAAGAAAATTGTTTGAGGAAACCTGATTCGGGCCATGGCTGAGAGTACAGCATCCGGGTGGAGATGCTAATTTGACCCATTTGTGGCTTCAGACTATGACTAGCGATCTACCCGACAGTATATAACGTGGTGAGGAAGAGATATGGTTTCATTTTCCACCGGCGTATACTTGTTTTGGGCGGAAGGAGTTCTGCTTAATCACTGGTATACGATTTGGACACGATGATGTAGGCCCGGTACACTCGTCATATAACCCGCCCATCATGGTTATCCCGGGTTTTTCCTGATGAGTCAATAGAGAAGCTGAACTTACACGTCGATGACCTGAAGAAATTGTTTAATAAGAAAGATGGTTTTACTCGGAAGAATGACGTCGATGTTGTCCGAGTATGCCTTCTAGTACTTTTGTATGCCGGCTTTTTAGGCAGAGAGGCCAGACAACCTATTCCTCATGAGCTAATATAATTGGTAGAGGACCTAAATGCATGGAATCTATTTCCGTGGGGTTCGTATATATGGAAAGCTACCTGTACTAAGTTGTCGTCTGCCTTTGATGACCGTAAAAGTTTGCGTGGCGATGGGTCGAAATACACTTTGTCAGGCTTTGTTTGGGCCTTTAAGGTAAGAATTTCTATATAATGTTTTCAAAATTAAAATTAATTATTTAACAATTACTAATGTTTGTTATTATATTGTTTGTAGATTTGGATATTCGAGGCTTTCCCCAGCATGCGGACATATGCATTAAAAACTTCAAATGATATTCCTAGGGCTATTTCCTGGAAGAGGAAACGTCTGTTGGATTGGGAAGACTTAATACCATATGCGACAATAAATAATGTAAGTTAACACAAATACTATCATATATAAACAAGTTATTAATAGTAGACGTTTAACTTTGTTTAAGTTTTATATTTTTAGGAGGCCAACACTCCATTACAGAGACTAACACCCACGGAGGCTGAGCTTGCCACTGATTGGTGGCAAGCTAGTCAGCGTTTTTTTGATGGCATGAATGATGAGCAGCCTCCACTTCCTCCACTTCGAGAGCCATCACCTGATCGACTCGACTATACACCTCTACAACGAGAGCCATCACCTATCCCGTCACATCATCGAGCCTCTTCTCCACCATCACCTCATGATAGGCAACCGACAAAGATACCACGACTTCTATCTCCCTGTTCTCAACCTCCACCTCCACGGGATGAGTCAAGGGAGTTACGTGATGAGGTCAATGCCTTGCATGAGGAGATCGGTATCTACGCGATAACGATGGTGCATGGCGTGTGGAGGTGTCTACTTTACGTGGTGAGGTTGTCGCTCTACGTGAGATTGTAGTATCGTTGCAGAATGAGGTTCATACTCTACGCAACGAGGTAAGTTTAAGATTTTCCATATTTAACTTGATGATAAATTTACTCGTACTTTCACTTAGATTAACAATTTCACTTAGATTGCTTAGTAAATTTATTTAGTTGCTGCCAATACTGCTAAACTGTTTATTCTTTAACACTGTGAAGTTAGTATTTGTCTTTTGATTAAAGTAAATTTATTCGGTTGCTGCCAATTCTGCTAAACTGTGTATTCTTTAACACTGTGAAGTTAGTATTTATCTTTGTTTTGTCTTTTGGTTGAAAGTAAATTTGTTCGGTTGCTGCCAATTCTGCTAAACTGTGTATTCTTTAACACTGTGAAGTTAGTATTTGTCTTTGTTTTGTCTTTTGGTTGAAAGTAAATTTGTTCGGTTGCTACCAATTCTGCTAACTGTGTATTCTTTAATACTCTGAAGTTAGTATTTGTCTTGTTTGTCTTTTGGTTAAAGTAATGCAATCCATTCAAGTTTCAATTTGCAGAAGAAGAAATAGTTTACTTTCACAACACGAAACTTAAAATCGCAACGTGAAAAATGACTATCGCAACGCGAAATGAATCGCAACGAGAGAATCGCAACGAGAAATGAAAATCGCAACGCGAAACCAAAATTGCAACGACAAAATCGCAACGCGAAACCAAAATCGCGTTGCGATTTTCATTTCGCATTGCGATTCTCTCGTTGCGATAGTCAAATTCTCATTGCGATAGTCATTTCGCATTGTGATAGTCATTTTCGCATTGCGATAGTCATTTTCGCGTTGCGATTTTAAGTTTCAGATTCTATTCTTCTTTTGCAAATTGAAACTTGAATGAATTGCATTACTTCAACCAAAAGACAAATACTAACTTCACAGTGTTGAAAATTTAAGTTTCAAGAATAAACTACTACTCTTTATATTGTCATTGAACCTGCACTAAATCTATATGTTGTCCTTTTAAATGTTTTTATAAGTGCTTACTTCTGGAATGTTATCTGATGATTTTGAACAATGATATAATAATGACTTGGGGAATACCGTGCAAGTTTGAAATATTTGTCTTTGTTCTCACTGTTTAATATCACGTCTGTTTATTTACTGATTTATGTATTAATTTATTTTAGTAGCCGCTAAGGTGGATGCTCTACATCGGGCAAGCAAACGGAGTTCACATCAGACGGCGTGCACGTTGCCATTACGTCTCGTTCACCCCAATAGTGCGAAGAATCCTTAATAAAAAGACCGACTCACCTGTCATCGTTCAAGAGGCCTCCCCTATCGTTCAAGAGGCCTCTATCATCCTTCAAGAGTCCTCTCCCACCGTTCAAGAGGCCACTGTCATCGTTGAAGAGGTCCCTCCCAACATTCTAGAGCCCGATTCACACGGTGTAATATATCGAATTATTTAGAAGCCCCCTCACGTGCCGGACATGATGATGATTGTGTTGGCTTTCGTATAAGTTACCGACCAGTACCATTCCGGCAGATGAAGTGGAGAGGAAACAACTACCGGAAACAATTCTGGATAATACCCTTTGGGCTAAGATCGCAGTTGATTTTTATCTACATGAGCGGAGCCAAGGGTGTTACACTGACATATACAAACTCAACGATGATATGCATTTGTTGATTGAACGGTCTTGGTGGGGTGTATTATTAGGGGTTGAAGACAACTACTATTTCGATGGGGGGTAAGTCTTATATTTCTTATATTTCAGTTTGATTAATTTTTTTAAAATTTATGTAATTCACTAATATAGTCTTTTTTGTAAAACAGCATATTGATGCATGGTGACACGTCTTCTATTGTAAGGAAATTGAAGAAAATATTAAAAAAATGCGATATACAATTATGCCGCGACGTTTTCACGTAGTTCACTTGAAGACAATTATGCCGACGCTTTTTCACGTAGTTCACTTGAAGAATCAACGACAGGCATATGTGTTGGCTAATGGACAAGCTCAACTTTATCCTGCATGGTGGGAGGTCGATAAGGTTAGTATATTTGTTTAAATATTTTAAAGGTGTTCATAAATAAGTGCGCAATTTGAATTATTACATTTCGATGCAGGTGTTTATCCCT